AAAAGAGGAATAAGATTGGTCTAGGTCAATTTTTAGTAGACATGACCACGGGTCGATCCGGTCCGAAACAAGCCTAGTCAAGCCCATTGACCACGGGTCATGAATCAGTCTGTGGTTTTGTCCTGACCAGTTCAGGTTCACAAAATTATAATTTATGTGAATCATCGGTTCAGGTTCAGGTTCAGGTTCAGGGTCAGCTCGGAACCGGCTCGAAGGCCCGATAATATACATACTGCTCCGTTCAAGTTCGTTGGGGCTCCGAAGTTTGGTGTGCTACAGCTTTAGAGACAATTATCGTTGTATCTTTGAGGACGAGACGTCGAACCTGCCAGCACGACACAGAGCGTGTTTGTCTTGCGGAAAAAGATATGCTTGCCTCGACTATACTCTTCCTGCTTCCAGTTCCATTGTAATTTTTTTTTCTTTTTTTGTTTAAGTTGGAAGAACTGAACCCTTACTATTCAGTTCGTAGGTTTCCCGTGTAATTCGACATTCAGTTGGTAACAAAATATTTCGCTGATATTCTTTTGAGATTAAGAATGAGTTTAATGTTTGGAGAACAATACTATTTAATTGGTGTTATATACAAAATATGCAATAAGTTTGAGAATGAGTTTCACGATTATTCAAATGACTAATTATCAAATATCATTTTAGAGATATTTATATACTTGAGAAAAGGTAGACTTTGCTAATTCATCCATATATATTTTGTTATCTCACTCCCTAATCACATTGAATTATCATACTATTGGAGTTTTTGTGGGTGGGCAGAGGCTGAGAGTTTATGAAATTTTTTGTGTATGTGTTGCAAGACCAGTTTACAAGTTTTATTTACTTTCTTTAATAAAACAGTATCATTGTGAATTGGAAATATGAAAAAAATATGGAAAAAATAAAACTTCATTGAAGGATCTTAAATGTTGCTAGACAGGTTGTTTGAGTCTAACATTATCAAATGATTTATGAACTGAAAAAATTGAAAAGCCAAAATTGTGAAATTTTTTAATTGAAGGGCATCGGAATAGACAAAAAAAAAAAAGAACAAAAAAATTAAAATGCTAAAATTCTAACAGCACTACAATGCGCCAAATTGGATGGTTCGACTTATTTTTTAGGTTTCTTGTGGACTTGAATTCGATTAGTCCAAATCATATTGAACCGGACAAAACTAAAAACTGCACACATGACAGCAAATAATTAAACTAGACAAAAACACACACAAAAACGAATTGAAAATATTGTACAATAAACAACTGAATCGAGTCATACTAACTGTACAAACTGTCACAAATTTCAGTTTCTGCTCGATTTTGCTCACCATAATTTATCTCCGCGGCAATTGTAAAGGCCTATAACAAGTTTAAATTGCTTCTCCACAATGGAGATTAAAAGGCCCATGATACTGCACATTGGGCCAGGCTTGGGTATTTGTAAGGCCCGAAAACTTTGGATATGTTAAAATTCAAAAGGGCCAGATCTATTGTTATTGAACAGTCAACAGAGTTGACTAATTTTTAGATATGAATATTGAAATCGATTTTAGGTAAGAAAATATAAATTATGTGAAATATATGTTTGGGTAAAACAAATTAAGCAATATAGTCATATGTGTAATATACCAATTCAAGCACAATTTTTCAAATGTGAATTACCCATTGTTTAGTGATCCAAACCGGCCCGGCGGGTCGACCCGGAGTCGAAACCGGTCCGGATGGGCTATTTGGACGGGGTAACAATGGACCCGGTCAAACCTGGTCAAAACCCGGCCAACTCAGCCTTGACTCGGACCAGGGTCATTGACCCGGCGGGTCAACCCGGCTGACTCGGTCTCTATAAATTTTTTATATTTTTTTATATAAAAAATAAATACTATGAATGACACAATAAATATTTATTGTGAGATTCAATATTATTAACACTTGAATGTACAAATTTTGTATACATATTTAGTTTTGTTACTTTTATGTGTATTTATATGTCAAAAAAACTATATACATATAATTTTAAAAATTTTAAAATTAATTATCCGGTTCATCAATTGACCCGGTGACCCGGCGGTTGAACCGGTGACCCGGTAACTCGGAGACCTGCCCGGGTCGATTTGCTGGCCGGGTTTACAAACTATAGAATTACCTACATTATATATATATATAAAAAAAAAATTGAAACAATTTTTGTTCTTAAATAAAATAAAATTAATGGTGTAAGTAAATACTAAAAAGAAAAGACATTTGAACATTTAAACAATTTGTGGAAAATATTAATCTAAATATTAAAAAAACACTAAAAAAAAACAAACTAGCACAAACAATGTTTTTCACTTTCCCTTTTGAATCAAACGAATATGAGAAAAACGCAAATGCACACAACATATTGATTAATTAAATCATATTACCGTCTCCGTCAAAACTCGGTTTCGCACAGCTGATACGTTATTTTGGCCGGCCCGCTCGCGAGCGAGTTTTTCACCCTAAAATCGCACGAGATTTTGACGTTCCTCTTCTCGTTCCTCACCCAGCTCCCGATCTCCATCGCCACCTCGGCCTTCAGCGCCATCCGCTTCTCCTTCGACCCGTCGGTAAGCCCCTTCTCGACCTCCCGCGTAAGGCCCGTCTGGCTCCCGGCCAGAACCACCGGGAGCTCGACGTGGGCCCCACTGGGATCCCGGACCTTCCCCAGACCGATCTTGTGGCCCAGAAAGGTCAGGGCCGCCGACCCGTTCAGCCCGCCCTTGTATGAAACCGAAAGCCTCGGGTTCGGGCTCCCGGCGGCCCGCAGGATCACGTCGAATTCGGGTCGGGTCCGGGCTTTTGAGGGCCCGGCGAGGTTCTTGGCCCGGAGTCCCACCACGGCAAAACTGGGCGGCGAGGGGCGGTAGAGGGTGGCGCGGAGGGCGAGGATGGCCACGACGGCGGCGATGATAAGGGTGATGGGGACGGCGGCGGCCCAGCAGAGGGTTCTCCGGCGTGCGCCGGCCGGGCGTCCGGCAGCGGCGCGGTTGTGGTGGAGCTCGATTATTCGGGCGTGCTCTGGCGGGGGGACGCGGTAGATTTGGTCCCGGGGGACGTGGACGACGTAGGTGGCAAGATCATCGGTGGTGGCGGTGGCAGCCGGTGGGGATTTGGGGGGTTCGGGCGGTGGTGGCGGCAGCCGCTCCTCCATGGTGGGGAGAGGAGCGGTGGGCGGTGGTGGTGGTGGGGGAGGCGCAGGCGGCGGTGCTAGTTGGTGGTTGTTGTTATGGGCATGGGAGGCGGTGGTGATTGGGGAGATTGTGTGCATGGGAATAGGGGGGGAAATGTGTTTGTGTTTGTTGATAATCAAAGGGGAGGAAAAATTAAAATTAAATAAATAATAAATAAAAAATATATGTGTTTGGTGGATAATTAATTGGGGTTTTCACTGTTTTCTTTATGTTTATAATATTGCTTTGGTTTGTTTTATTTTTAATTTTAGTGGCTTAAAATTGAATTAGTGTGTTAAGGTTAACATAATAAACTTAGTATAAGAAGAATTTTCATTTAGATAACAAATATGTATTTATAAACTAATTTTTCTCTCTATTTATTTCATAATATAAACAACAATCATTATTATTTTATTTTTGTAAAAAATATTTTGTAATCTAATTAGATATTTTTAATTTTCAGCCATCTTTTTTATTTTTCTATTATATTGCATTTCATAATTTTATTTCATATAACCTAAATCTTTTCTCTGATCATTTATAAAAGAAAATATTGAAGCATGTCAAACTTTACATAGGACTAATTCTTCTGTTAAATATTTTTGGAAAATTCTATGGAAAAACTTATTCCATCGGAATGTATTCATTGGACCGAATCAATTTAAAAATGAAATTTCATCATTTTTTTATAGTATATGATGTTGGGTCGAGTTCCACAAGACTTGTCTGACGGTAAAAAATGCTTTCAATCACCACATGCACATGACTCGTGTGGTTTTAGTTGAAAGTTATTCCGATGTGAAACAACACCTCACACAAGTCGTGTGAGACTCAAAACCAGCTCCGAACCTTGTCGGAATAAAACACGGCAAGTTCCTCGGTTTTCGGCATCTCTAGGTTAGTGAGGTAGAAAATGAATTTGTTATGCTGAAATAAGTTCTTGATGGGATTTTTAAATGGACCGGCCCATCCTCAACTAATAATGTTCCTTTGTTAGTATTCGAAATCACATGGGCTGTATATTGGGCCAGTCCCAATTCATCGTTCTTGTTCCGGCTTTATTCGTTTTTCGCTCTCCAATAATTACTGGTAAAATACCCGTGTATTACACGGGTGCTTGTTAAAAAATTATTCTTAAATTTTAAAATTTATGAAAAAACTATATTAAATTTAATTTACTTTTTACAAAAAAATATATTACTATATATTTTAGAATGATATGTGTTACATATGACGTACATGTGTTATATTATATTAGTTTTTATAACTTATTTCATATAACTACTTGAAATATAAATATATTAGTTGATAAATAATTTTATTTTTTTATTAATATTAAAAATATTCTTATTATTGTTATAAAGATAAATATAAATTATGTTTTATACATACAATACGGATGTTAAATCGAAACTCATCAAAAGAAGATTAATTTGATATATTACATATGTAAAACTGATAAAAAATACAAAAGTTATTAACTTTTAAAATATATATACAATTCAATAGTTATAATAAGGAATGATATTAAAATGCAATAATACATGTAACATGACCATAAATAATCAATATATTTATGGTAATCCGAACCTAATTATTTTTGGTTTGAAATTAAATTAAAATTTACCCAAGTCTAATAACGAAGCATGTAATTTTGCCACATAGGATTCCGAAGCACCAGAAGCAGCCACGTAGGCTTAGCGCGTTCCGGATTAATATATAGGGGGGATTTCGATCATTTTTTTTTTATCAAATACATAATAAAACAAATTTTTCATTTACACTACAACAAAATGATGAAATTTTAACGTAAAGTTCCAATACAAATATATTTTAATAGAATTCCGTTATTATATGATGCTATGTTAAGACTAATGAGAGATGAAAGGGGGAAAAAATAAAAAATTGTCATAACTAGTAGATATTCTGTGCACATGCACAGATGTCTTAAAATATTAGTAAGTAATATTTGATAATTTAATATTAAAATTCTAGATAATGAACATATTACATTTCCAAAAATTTGATCATTAGGAAAAATAAATTAACGATTTTATTATTATTAACAATTATTTATTATCATTATATAATAACATTTTGATAATTATTATATTATTAATATTATTAAAAAAATTGTTTATACGCTTCTAAAGTTGTTTGACTATGCTATTAAAACAATTTACTAATTTTTTAAAGAAATTTTTCATGAGATACAAAAGAAAAAGATAATATTGATGTTAATATAAATAACTTGAAACAATTTTTTATAATTATGTAATTTATATTTATTGTGAATCATTATTAGTTGGTATTAGCAATAACTATTATATAATATAATAGAAAAATACATGATTACACTTAATAGGATATGTTAATGTGAGAAGTAAAAAAATAGTAATGATAAATTTTGTAACTGAAAATAGAGGGAAAATTTTAGAGGTTTTATTAAATAGGTAAAATTAAATGCTAAGCTAGAAATTATATATATATATATATATATAATTTTAGAGGTTTTATTAGAGGTTTTATTAAATAGGTAAAATTTTAGAGGTTTTATTAGAGGTTTTATTAAATAGGTAAAATTAAATGCTAACTATTATATATATAATATATATATATATA